GTATTTCGCGCCAGGGGAACGTTCAGCGGGTAACTTGCTTAGCACAGTGGTAATGTTCGCTGGTGGAGTACGTAGCAGCAAAAGGGTTAAATAATCTTTTTCCAAAGATCCACCAAAATACCTGTATCATTCATGTCACACTTGAACACCTGTTTATATCATGGTAGAAGCTGACCTTGACAATCTATCCAGATGTAATTCATCATAGAGGATCTCCTTGGGGACTCTACCATCTGCCGTCATCGAAATGACTCCTAGCCATCTGAGCCTTCAAAGCCTCTACAGAGCATTGATAAAACTTGATTCTGTAAACTCAGCCACTTTTGCACCTTGCAATCGGTATTCGTCACAGGCATGAAGAAAAGTTAAGGTTGTTGCAATATATATATGTACCAAGAATTAGTTATCTCAGACTGACTGTCACTTGGATTTTGTATTCAGTCAAAAGAATAATGGCTTGCTGCTGGAACCATGACAAACTTGTTGGCTGACACATGAAACTGAATGTGGGACTTCCCACAACACAGCTGTGGCCAGCCAGTGGTGGTAGCATGAAACAAAACCAGGGGTTAAAAGGGATTATAGAAAGGGAAGAGTTTCCCACACAGCCAATGTTTAGGATGGAAGAGTTCAGTAAATAGAAATCACATATGGGTATGAGTATACTGTGTTGTTGTAGTGAAACTATGTTTTCTTTGGGTTATGGTATTGTGATTACTGTTTAACATTTTGATTTGATTGAATTGGGGAGCTGCATGGTCTCGAGCATGGTGTCCGCCTTGAGTGCTAGAGGTCCTGGGTTCAGCCCCTTGGTGAAGGCTGGGATTTTGTCACGTGGACTTCTAGTAATTTCCCCTGGTCTCTGGGTAGTAAGATCGGACACCTGTGTGTATTGTTGTGCATGTAAAAAAAGTCCCTTGGCAGTTGGAAATCGAAATGAGTATCCCAACGGTGCTGCTCGGACAAAATTTGGAGTTTAAAATCTACCCAAAATATTCCAGGATCCTCACCGGTGCTACAGAGTTCATGCACTGCGCTAAGATTTTTCAGACGCAGGCTTGAATTAGAAGTAGACTGGAGCACTACTCAGGTGCCATGATGTTGATATGTTGTTCAAAGCAAACCAAAGAAATATAGTGTACCTCACCTCACATGCCAGTGTGTTCTTTGATAATTTTACTGAACCTCCTGCAAAATTCTTGCCTTATGTCCACATCTTACACCACAGATAAATGTTAAAAAGAACCAAACTGGAAGAAAGTCCTAGAGTTGGTGACCTTCAGAGATGCAGTCAGGAAACTACAATGTAGAAAAGCCTGTGGCACATTTCAGCCCACACCCAAATATTGGGTGAATGGCATCCAACGAAAGTGTGCACTGCCACCTTGACATATTTTCTAAGGTTCCTACTACATGACAATTTTAGTTCAACATCAACAGAGAAGCCTCCTGTATGACAAAATAAAAATTAGCAAATTTCTGCTGAATGCTGAACACATAAGACATATACGTTTAAAGCCTAATTTTTCACACATCCTCATTCACCTTTACAATTACTGTTAGCACGTTGTGTTGGGGTTTAAGGTAGGATACAATGTCTGTACCTTTAGGCCCAACACATCCAATTTCAGCAGGTCCCTAACGTGTTGCCTTTTATGACATGTTGAAGAGCGGTGGGTCTTTTCTCTTCACCCGCCTCCACCCAAATGGAGCCCCAGAACATAAATCTTATTATTTTGTTTTATATTAATAAAACAATTTGGACAATTTTTCGTTTTGTTTGTCATGGAAATTTTTATTTGATAAAATTTCTGCTTTTTTAACTGCTGATATCCCAGATAACTGTTACTTTATGAATGTCATGATTGAGACAGTTGTATACAAATGCTCATGAATGCTGGGTCAAAGTAATGAGGGTCAGATTAACTGGGGCAGAAAGACTTAAATGACAACAATGACTGGCTCGACACACAGTGAATTAAATGATCTTCAATGCTATTTGTGATGTATAGAGATTTTCGGAGGGAATTAAATGATAACAGTGATTGGTCAAGTTCATGTAACAGTTTGATGGAACTGTTATCCAGATATTCTGTCAATAAGGAAAAGTGTCAAGAAATCATGTTAGTGTTAACTGGTCCAGTGTATGGTGTCGCTGTTTGACACACAGTGAATTAAATGATCTTGAATGCTGTTTGTGATGTAGAGAGATTTTCTTGATGTGATCTAGCATGCCTGAATATTTTCAGTGCCATACCGTGACTCTCTGCTAACAAAACTCCTTCGAAATGCACTTGGCGGAAACAGCAAGACTGTCATGGTAGTATTTTATCAAAGTGTATCATGTTACAGTAATCATCACCACCACCACTATCATTACCATTGCCATCATAATCACCATTATCAGCATCATTATCATCATCACCTCCACCACCATCATCATCACCATCATCATAATGTACAATACTTCACATAAGGCTTGCAGTATATTTTTCCATTCCATTCTGTCCTGTGCAGTTATTTCACTATCAGGGATGGAATCCAATCCAGCATCTTGGCCTCTCATCAGTGTTCATCTTGGGGTATCTTTTGAATTTCCTCAGTCCTTTTGTTCACAATTTAAGTGATAGTTTTGTGATTATCTGTTCACTTTTCTTCTTGATGTGACCAAAATATTGCCATTTTCCTTGTTCTATAAATGTTGATGCTAGCAGTTGTCCAGAAATTTCTTCTGTCTCTTTGCCTTGCCTTTCTTAAATTCATCCTGTTTGATATTGATCAGTTTCTTTAAGCATTTGTTTCACTTATGCTGTAGGCTGGTAATTTTAGTTATTATTATTAAGTAAGTTTCATTTTTGTAAGCAACTCTGAGATTATTGTTTAAGGTCTCTTTGAAACAGTAGAGGTTTATTTAGGATAATGACTGTATCTTGAAAGAAATTAGCTTAAAAAGAGAACTAGTTTCACCACACGAGAAGAGGACAACAATCCATATTATCTGAGCATGTCTGTCATGAGACCGGGAAATCTGGAGTAACTCTGGACAAAATGGAGGAGAAGAGAGGCAACAGAAGACTAAGAGAATGATTAGGGATGCACAGTGTATGCTCTTGGTAATTGTGTTAAAATAACAAAAAAGAAGAGGTTAGAAAACCTGACATCTTGGCATACATATGTATCAGAAATGATTTACATACACACGATAACCAGCTATAGGTATACATGAGAACCAATATCACACAGCATGTGTTATAAGAAAAAGAGACTGTTTTGTGAATGAACTATTCTAGAAGCAGTCAATGTTGATATAGACAGAACTGGTTTGCTTGTTAGTAAAGGACAAATAAAAGCTGCAAAGCTTATAGTACATGCCTTGTGACATTTATGTTTATGTATATTCACAGACTTCTACCTTTTCTCCTCCTCAAAAGGTTTAAATGTTTTTACATGCAACAGTGCTAAGTTGTCTACCAGGCTTTTTCTGGATTTCCCCCTCCCCCACCAATCTCTCTTCTCTTTTAACTTTCTGTTGAATGTATTCCAGTTTAGTCCATTTTATGATGACCCAAAGTGTGGAGCTAGTAGCATTAAGTTGAAATGCATCTTTATTCATGTGTTAGGATTCATTATTTATATCAGCTGTTTGTGCACACTGAGCCAAAAATATGTGCATTAAGGGCAAACACATGTGTCCAAGTGAACTGTTGCATAATATAGAGAGGACAGTGGTAGGCAAAGTTTGTCATTCTATGTTGGCACCTTTCTGCATGATAATGTCCCATTGTGCTATAAGGAAATATAGGAGTAGCTGATGGTGCCGGCAAGGATGACCAGCTTGCAGTAAGAAGAATATTTCACAATAAATACATGAGATTTCAGAACCACCGCTGCTGTCACCTGTATCTGACATGTTTCTCCTTAGATGCCTAACTCCTAACCTGTCTAAAATCCTTTTCTCCCTTTTCCATAATCCCGCTCCCCCTCCCCTTTTTCATGCAATGAAATTCATGGCATCATGTTCCTATGAATCCATCTCAATACCTGTATTACTCATGTCTTGCCTGTACATAGGCTTGCAAGGAAATGAGCAAGCTGATCGGCTTTCAGGTAAGACTACTGTGGAGGGCAGACATAGCCATGGACCATATTCTGAATGCTCTACAAGAAGTAAAACGTTTGCGAGAACCAAGTGATGACTGTGAATCTGCAATCATGACCAGACTGCAAGAACAACATGTTAAAAGGGGTGTGGCCAGACAAGTGCACTATGCAGGAAGCCAAAGAAGAATAAGAAACCAACGCAGAACTGGTGTGCTCAGCCACTACACACTGCAGGATTTACTAAGTGGGGGGAATCCGAGCACTAATGAAACCAACGGTTTGATGTGCAAAGAGGATAATCTGTCGACTAAATAGTGATTACCAGTTTTGCCACAGTAAAGTGTGAGGAAGGACCACAAGCATCACATTGTAAATGGGATTTGTGAGAAACCTGAAGAAATACCATAGGGAAACGTACACTCATGCCCGTGCGCACTCATCGCGCACACTCAAAACTCATACACACTTTTATACACATTTTCACTCACCCACTCACTCCCTACTCACTCATACACACTCACACACATGTACACACACACACACACTCCTGGGGGGAGGAGGGGGGGGGGAGTGTCTTTCAAGAAAAATATGAACACATAATTTGAGAAATTAGACAAGATTTTTTGAACATGTTATATGAAACAATATACTTAAAAACCTACAATTGGCTAACTTGATAAAAATGTGTAAATGGAAGAAAAAGCATTACATAGATCGATGGCACATAGCATAAGAGGAACATGTAGACAGACCTTATCCAAATCTTTAGTGATCAAGTGAGATAACTAACCTTGACCACCTGTGATTATCAGCATGGCACATGACAAAAAGTTAAAAACAAAAACAAATAGTCTAGTAATTATTATTTTTATTATTGTTGTTCTATTTTGATAAATCAGATTGCAACTCTGAGTCCAGCAGACATAAACTACAATGAGACATTATCCACACTCCAATTTGGTGAGAATAAAACTGTTTGCTCTAGGTTGCTAATTAATATTATCTGTTTACTTTATTTTGACATAAAAATGATTAAATGAAAGTAAATGTTCATATAATTATTTTACTAAGTAAATTTATGTACTAAGAATGAGCAAGGTGATTAAAATGAATAAGTGTATTTTAAAATGTAGACAAAAAACAGCAAAAAGGGAAGAAACACAGATTAGAATCAATGCATAAAAGGGAGATGATAGCTGTGCCAGTTTTTATAGTTACTTTATAATTTTGAATTTATGTTTCGACCAAGTTTAAGAAAATGTGAATTGATGTGAAAGAAAAGAAAACGATAGACTCTGATGTGGGATTAATGGTTATATAGTTGTTATTGTCATCATTCAGATATATTTCACTATTTCTGTGATTTGTTTTGTATCATAGTCATTAATACATTAGCTTGCTAACTTGTAAAACAAAATCTAAGTTACCAGTGAAAATATAAAATAAAATCCAATTTTCGTCCTTTTTAGGACGAAATTTTTTGTAATTTGAAGCCCTACTCTGGCTTTTGCCAGGGGCCGCAATATAGGCAGGCCATACATATAGCCAAATGTCTGAATGTGGTTTCTGGGACCTCTCCACGGCGATCCTCATCCACATGGTGGCACTTTGTGTCATCGGGTGTTTATTACTTGTGTGATGTCCTGGTGTGGTAGAAAGTCAGTCAGTCACTGAAAATATAAATTTTTTATGTATTTGGTTTGTATCATAGTCATTAAATTCATTAGCATGCTAAGTTGTAAAACAAAATCTAAGTTACCACTGAAAATAGAAATTTTTTATTAATTTGGTTTTCAAACCTGCTAGCTGAGAGAGCAAAGGAAGTGAAGACAACAGCTGTGATTAATGAAAGTTCAACAGAAAAGCTTGTCCGGGAATTGAAGGAAGAAATTGAGAGACTGAAAAAGTTACTGAGTAATGCTAACTCTACACCAGGTAAGGTAACTCAGATCTGTTTTTGTGTGTTACCAGAGTTCAAATTATGCGGCAAAATAAATAAAGAGACATCTGTTACAGCAGAGTGTAATATTTATCAGAGTGGTATACTGGGCTAAATGATTTTAGACTTTAAATAATATATATGTATATATTTCTACATGATTCTATTAAAACGTTTATTTAATTCATGCTTTAAGAAGATGAATTTCTTGAGACCTCAGAGATGTGGTTTTACAGAAGAATGCTTAGAATACTTTCGACAGCCAAAAAGAGCAACCAAGAGGTTTTGAATGAGGCGATGGCCCGAAGACAACTTATCACAGACATCAGAAGGAGACAGTCATCAATTTTCGGCCATGTTATGAGAAGGGGGAAAATAAAATATGTTGTGACCACTGGAAAGATCTGTGGAAGGAGGGATAGAGGAAGACAGTGAGAGAAGATTCTTTACAGTCTTGTCGCATGGCATGGAGGTGTGTCGGCACATGAACTGATACATGCTGCAAGAGATTGTGGATTATGGAGAGGCATGATCGCCCACGCCAGTCGGCAAGGCACCAGATGATGATGATGATTAAGATGATGGTATCAGCTGCATATTTTCCTAAGGCAGTCACCAGCATCATCATCATCATGTACTTGCCAGGCAGTGGAGACAATCCTGTTTTTGCACAGCTATCTGTCCTACCATGTTTTGAATAATTTCCTGGTAAATTCTTTTTCTTCAGCATTCCGAGCCCTTGAGGTTTATTGCTGCAGATTTCACCCGCCTTGACTCATCTCTCTGCTTGGCTTTCTCTTTCCAGTTGGTGACACCAAGTGTTTGCATGTCTGTCAGGACATTATCTCTCCATCGTCTTCTTGGTCTGCCTTGTGGTCTACGACCATTAAACTCTCTTATGTGTTCAGTTTTTACCTGTCTATCATCCGACATTCTCTGAATATATCCCAGCCTTTTCGGTCTATTAGATCTCATGATGCCAGTGATCAATGGTGATTTAAACAGATTATGAATTTAATTGTCACTTCTCATTCATCATTTCCCGCTGTTTGTTGTCAGACTCTGTTTTCAAAAATTTGTAATATGGCTTCATCTCTATTAGCATAACTCCAAGTTTCAGAGCCATATAAATTACTGGTCTTATCAGTATTTTATATATTTTGATCTTGGTATTGCGAGACAGACTTTAATTTCCTGGTATATTGTTATGATAAATTAAAATAGCGACAAAACCTGAAAATAAATTTAAAAAAATAAATAAATTAAATACATTAATTTTCACATTTGTAATGTTCAGTCTAGTAGTGTTATTTAAAGGAAAATGATTCTGTGCCATTCAGTTAGCAGTAAACACATTTTTAAAATGGTAATATCTGCTGTGATAATTAATTAGTGTTTACATATTTGTGCCCATACTTTTATAAACCAATAAACACTCAGTGGGTAATGTTTTCACTATCAGTCCAGAAGTCCTTACTTTCCAGGACACATCCTGGTACCTGTTTTAGATCTCATGGGGATAATTGTAGCACATTCAGTTTGCTACAAAACACAGAAGTACTGAAATTTACCACATCACAACTTAGTGACAAATGGATGAATATTTTGTAAAAAGAATCTTCAGGAACAAATACTAATCATTAAATCTGCTACCTTTATTTTCTTGCATCATAATCAGTGTCTTCTTTTTGCTGACTGTTAATCCAAGGTCACATAGCGATGGTTGTAGTCTTTCCTCTGAGTGGGTTGTAAAAACATCATCATCCTCAAAGAGCAGTTCTTTGATGGAGATGGAACCTTTAAAATCCTAGTCTTGATTTTCAGTCTGAGATCCATCATTACTTGAAACATTTTAGTTCATATTATATTTGTATTCACATTTAATTGAATTATTGGTAAGCAAAGACCCTAAACCTTTCAGATGATGAGGATATGAAAAAACAAGTGGAGGAACAAATGGCAGCCACAAAAAGAGAGCTAAATGATATGGAAACATCATATGACCAGAGAACTAAAGTAGCACAAACAGAGCTGTTGGTATGTCTAAATTACATTCATTAAAGTAATAATAGAAAAATAAATGTCCTCCTGTTTTTAACCACTTACTGGGATGGAGGAGGATGAGAGATCTTGAGCTTTTAGATTTAAGGCTGCATGACCAATGCGGTCAGCATGGACTGCAGGTTAGAATTTGACTTTTTTTGCGACCAAGAGAAAAAATATGTCACCATCCTGGGAATTCTTATTCGGGTCCTCCGATTGGAAGCTTTGAGGTTTTAACTGCTCAGCCAGCTGCTTCACCTTTGGTGTAATAGATTAGATCAGTTTGCATCTTTTCAGTATTAGAAATAAAATTGTGTTGCAGCCTATTGAAAAGAGTTATTAATAGAAGAGGCCATGAATTTACAATATCTTTTTTGTTTTGAGAAGCCAAAAAACCAAAACTTCCAGTTTGGTCAGAATCCCCGTAAATGTCAGTTTTCCTACATATCTATTGACGTGTTTACAGGATGCATAGTTAATGCTAATGGCTGGGTTCATGCCTGTGCAAATGTTTAAGAGGTCAGTAACTAAAAGTAGCATTTTAGGGGGTTTTCTGGGGACCAAAAAGCTTGTTTTTTTAATTCTGAAGTATGTAAGTATTTATGTAAGTTGTACCCCACTAGGACATCACACAAGCGATAAACACCCGTTGTCGCTAAGTGTCCCCATGCAGATGAGGATCACCCGTGGAGAAGTCCTGGAAACCCTGTTTAGCCGTTTAGCCATATTTCAGTCCCCCAGGAAAAGCTAGGGTGGGGCTTCAAAATAGCTAAAAATTGCATCCCACAAGAGGACGACAGAGAATAAATTTATCTTGTGTAGAAGTTTGCACATAAAGAAGGAATTGTAGTGAATTCTGTAGCAAAAATAGTCATTATTCCTTGGACCATTAACATATAAATAACTGTGCTACTCTGATTTGCTTCTAGTGTAGGACTATATTTTCAACTGTGTTTATGAAAATCCTTTGTCACATAGACTATATTTGCTTTTCTTTAGACATTCTTTAATCTAAGTGGTTACCTCCTGTAATAATGTAATTTTTTCTTTTAATTTCTATTTTCATTATTCTGTCTTTTGTGGTTCTCTCTCTCTCCCCCCCCCCCCCCCTTTTTATGTATAGAGAAAAATACACCTTTCAGATTCTGGTGTAAATACATTAAGTGTACATATACAAACAAAATACTCTTATCTTGCCACATTAACAGTAACAGTAGAGGCAGAACCTGAACCTTCATTAGATGAAATTTCATGGGCAATAAGGAGCCTGAAAAATGGTAAATCACCTGGATGTGATGAGATACCAGCTGAATTGATTAAAGTGGGAGGAGAAGAAAGCATAAAAATCTATCATGCATTATGTGAAAAGATATGGAAATATGGTATTTGGCCAAAAGACTGGAAGAGAACTATCTTCATTCCAATACCAAAAAAGGGTGACCTGAAATTATGTACAAACTGTCGAACTATTGCCCTGATCAGTCATGCAAGTAAAATTCTACTAAAAATTATAATTAGAAGACTGCATAAGAAAATGGAAGAAGAGATTAATGTAGCTCAGGCTGGATTTAGACAGGGAAGAGGAACAAGAGATCATATATTCAACATGCGTTTAATAATAGAGAAGTGTAGATAATTTAATCTAAATCTGTTCTTATGTTTTGTGGATTATTCAAAAGCATTTGACTGTGTACAACATCAGAAGCTTTGGGAAATCATGAGGAATATGGGCTTTCCATCACATATAGTGCAGCTCATTAAAATGCTCTATCAAGACCAACAAGCAGCAGTCAGAATAGATGGAGAGACATCAGACTGGTTTGGCATCAGACAAGGAGTCCGTCAGGGATGTGTGCTGTCACCGTATTTGTTCAACCTGTACACCGAAAATATAATGAGAAATGTAAGAGATGATATAAACAAGGAACAATATGATGCCCTAAACATCGGTGGTCATGAAATACCAGAAATTCGTTATGCTGATGATACAGTATTACTATCAACATCACAAAATGGTTTAGAAAACTTATTAACCTCACTCCAAAGAAATAGTGAAAATCATAACTTATTTCTTAACATAGCAAAAACAAAGATAATGCATACAAACAAAACTGCCATGGAGAAGGAAATATATGTTAATGAGGAGGAAAGATTGGAAGTGGTGGAAAATTTCGATTATCTTGGGTCACTGGTTACCAACAATGGTGACACAATGAAAGAAATTAAACGGCGACTATCAATTGCTCTTCAAAGACTAAAACAACTGAATAAATTATGGAATTGTACAGATAGAATTACAAAGGTCAGATTTTTAAGAGCATGCATCTTTCCCATTGCAACATACGCCTGTGAGACCTGGACACTTACTAAACAAGCGGAACAGCGCATAAATGCATTTGAATATAAATGTTACAGACAGGTTCTAAGAATATCTTGGGTAAAGAAAAGAACAAATGCATCCATACTTCAAGAGCTGAATATTGAAGAGGGTTGGCTAGTAAAGACAATAAAACAAAGAAAATTGAAATATTTTGGTCACTTGAAACGTCATGGAAGTCTAGAGAGAACAATAATGGAGGGGTATATGCCTGGGAAGAGAGGAAGAGGAAGGCCAAGGAGAAGATGGGTGCAGGATGTGGCAGATGATCTCCAGATGGGTGTATCAGACGCAGGACATCTTGCTCAGGATAGGAAGGTTTTCCGGAGGGTTGTTATGGCAGCGAGGTTCCGCGAGGGACATGCTACTGAATGAATGCCACATTAATGCCACATTAATGAGGGCATTGGGCTATGTGCTGGTATATCCATATTTATATAGACCAATCAACACTTGATGATTGATATTGATAAAATCATACTGGTCGTCTTTATTGCCTAGAATATTTTCTGGTACCAATTGTAGGCTGTGTCAACCAGGTAGACAAGGTCAGTTGTAGAAAATCCATCCTAACGTGGATTCAAAACAAAGGACTCAGGCCAATAATCAAGTATCTAGCCACTGTGCTACTGTGGTTTCATCTTGATGTAAAATGTCCACAAAAGTGTTTATTGAGAAATAAGAAACATACAGTACTCTGTGTACTTTAAATGGCATTTAACAATTTTGCCAAATCAACAGTTCAATTTTTCAGTATTTTATTAATTGTGTCAAAACAATTTTAGTGATAACTTACACATTGTAAATGCATCTTTTTCTTCTTCTTTTTCATGTGCACTGGTTGTAAACTCTGGTTGAATGTCTTGGACTTTATCCTTGATCCAGGATCTGAGTTTTGTGTGCAAATCCATTTTACTAATCTGGCATATCTGGGTGCAGACTGTTTGTTCCTTACCTCTCAGCAACTCCAAATGAAAAGGCAGTGTTGATTCAATCTGTGTTGGCTAGGCCACCTGTTAGGAACCTGTTTCTGGGATGTGTGGAGAGGTGTAGGTAGGTAGTGACCAGTGTGAACCCGGGTCCTAATGCACCACACATTGAATCCCAAATATGTCTGAGATCTTAATACAATTTGCATTGTTGGTATATGCCACTTAGGTAAAACTTGCTGCTGAGAAAAAGAAAGCAGAAGACAGAAAGGTGATTCCACATTTCTGGAATTTGAGTGAAGATCCAGCATTAACTGGAATGCTGATTCATTTTTGTAGAGAAGGTAAGTCAATATGGTAGTACTAAAGATAACTTATTCATATCATTTACCTAATGATAAAAGTAAGATAAGAATAAAATGACAGTTTTTGTTTGTATCTTGTTGCCTCCTTGCATTTTTCTATAAAATGATAATTTCTTTTCACTCTGTCATGTTATTGTATCTTTTGTTTACTGAGATTGTGGAAAAAAAGCAAAGGATACCACAGAACCTGTGGGGGGTGGGGAGTGGGGTACCATGAGCTCCCCCCCCCCCCACACCCCCTTTCCCGAGTGTGTTTTAAACAAACAGTTCCCTTAACATTTATAGACATTCTCTATTTAAGTATATATCTGTAGATTTCATATTATTTCATATATATTATTACTTTTATTTGCTATTCGGCAGTTGTTAATTTTAATAGTATTGTGCATTTAACCCTTTCGCTGCTATGGACGAGATAACTCGTCTACCCGGTAGACTGCTAAGGACGAGTTAACTCGTCTTCCATTTTCTGTGCCCTCAGTGCTAAGGACGAGATATCTCGTCCTCGACTTTTCTTACAGATTGCTAAGGACAGTAATTCTTGGGGGTGAAATGGAAATATACATTACCCAAATCTGATCAAACTGACCCATTTACATACAATTAAAACCCTTATCAGGTGCGTTTATCCGTATTTAGATGCATTTCACGCTATCCTGTTGCTTTGTTACCATAGAAGCATGGTCGGTGAACGGTAACTTTTTTGCCCTAAAATATGTTTCTGGTTTTGCGTTAGTCTACTTTTTTTAAATACAAAATAACAAGAAAATTTGTTAATTATAGTTAATGAAGAATTATTGGAGTTTGTTTCGAGGAGTAATAGTAAGGATAACTTTGAAACGTTTGAGTTATATGAGCTGAGCTATCTTCGCGGCACGCCGTCGGACACGTGTACTTCTAGCCGTGAGCAAGACTGACCATATGACCCAGCTATCTACATTGACTGGATTTGAAATGAATCACCAATAATCAAAATGAAGATATGGTCACGTACTGACATGATAATTAATACTAATGTTTCTGATATACTATACAACTGACAAAACTGTGTCTTGTCTATCAAAGTGTACAATACTAGTCCTATTTTCGGTACCAATTTACATATAAACTTCTAGCGTAGTTGATATCACGCTTGCCTTGTAATCGAAGGGTACGCGTTCAATTCCTGCATGCCGTATTTTTTTTTATTATTATAATTTTAAATGTAAATTCTAAATTTGAGCTCTTAGCTCTTTCGGCAACAGATCACAGAAGTATTAATTAATTAAACATTATGTCACGTGCATTTAGTTGTGTTACACGTTATCCTGTTGCTTTGTGAAGCATGGTTGGTATACTGTTCATTTGTGTGCAAAAACACTCCTGTTGCCCAATTTCACTTAATGTTAGTAAGAGAAAGTCTTTATAAATATTGCAAGGAAAAGAGAACAAATGTAGGAGGACAAAAAAAGTGAAGATCTGCCACTTCGTTTAGTACAAAGAAAGACAGTACCCTTCAAAAATAGAGTCTGTAACATCACAGAAGAAATTCCCAACAAGAAAGTGTGTGGTATGCGCAGAAAGCAAAAAACGACGGGAAACCCAGATACATGTTCAAGGACTGTGATTTGGTACTGTGTGTCGCACCTTATTTTGAAATATTTCACACAAAAAGATATTAATAATAATAAAAAGAACATGTATCTGCTTACAAAGTGTTTTGTATTTGCTTTGTAAGTTTGAAGTATTTCTATTTAATGAGTTTTTATGGCGTAGCCCAAGCGCGTTTGACTTGTCAGCGCAAAGGTCAACCATGCGCTCCAAAAGAGTTTTTATTTTAGGTGTACAATTTTTACCCTGTGCCGCAAGAGCGTCTTCTGCTTTTGGAGGCGAGAAAGGTATTCAGCACAGGGAGAAAGATTAGCTCTCGCCTGGCTCAGCACAGTGGTTACGTTGGCCTGCGTTGGGCGCAGCAGCGAAAGGGTTAAACAAGGCCTAATTCACTTAAGGGCCCCTATACCCCCAAAAAATGATAAGGGGACTGGATGTCCCCTCCCAAGATTTCTTGGTGACAGGCAGCACACCTGAAGGATACTTTTACATAATTTGATGCATTTTGAGTATACATTGTTAGCCTGATAGTTTCATAGGCCAGTTAGCAATTTATGGGTTTAAAAAGAGGATCAACCTAATTGCACCAGATTTTTTCCCCCTATGGCCTGGTCTTACTCTGCAGAATGGCTAGCCATCAGCCCAGGGCATCACACCAAGCATGAACTACATAGCTCCACTGACGATGCTCAGGGATTTCTTTAAAGATTGCACCGGTGAACCGAACATTCAAGTCCATGAAACAAACCCATGACCATAAGAGCATCAGGCAAATGGCTTAACCACTTAGCCACAGAGACCTTCATGGGTGTTGTGGTCAGTATCATGTTGGTCATCTTTACATTCCTGAACATTTCCTGGTACTATTTTTAGCCTGCGGCAACCTGGATGTCCAGGTAAATTATATATTTAAAAAAACAACAACACTGCATTGATGAGGATTTGAACAAAGGATTATCAAACTGACAGACACAGTGTTAGAAGCTGGGCTACTGAGGCTCCCTTGTTATCAGCTTTCCCCATGTGGGTTCCGGGGCTCTCATTGGAGTTTACCGCCAGAAAATGCAAAGAAGAAGAAGGTATATACATATAATACATCAACATTTCCAAATTTAAGTATGATATGTTTGTACATAAATCTTTTCTGCTGCTTGCAATGTACCTGTCTTTGTCACTTAGGTACAGTCACAATTGGAAACAAGAATGCCGTTCCTGTGCCAGACATTATAATGAATGGCCTAAGGTAAGAAACATTTCACATTAAAAAAAAAACAACCTTTCATGAACAGTCTGAGGAGGAGAAATTATGTTTAAAAAACCAATGCAATTGAAAATATGTTTTTAATAAGATTAGATTTCACTTAATCTTCTTCTTGATTGTATGGAATACCATTTTGACTGCATTAGGGTAATATCTTACTGGTTCTTTATATAATCGTATACTAAAGCAATTTTTTTTTACATCTTAAAGGATAATGTAATCAGACATACTGCAACTTCGAGCTTTACTGTTAAGCCACATTAAAATTCACTTTGTAATAATTTGCTGGCATGGTAGCTAGGGGTATAAATGTGTGCATACTGGGAGGAAATGAAGAAAAGCAGAAAAAAAGGGGGGTGGGGGGAAAGGGGGAAAATTGACAAATATCCACCAAAAAATTAATAATCTTACTTCCTGTTTAAAGAGAAACCACAATTATCTGAAAGACAATAAAATGAGTAAACAAGATTCTCTGGATAATGCTTGTGAAAATAACTTAAAGATATTAAGAAGTATTAGGACAAAAAGCATTAAAACTACTGAAACAATCTGTTACAAGGAATTTAGTACAAAAACTTAAAAAAAAATTTACAGGCAATGAATTACAAATCTTTTGATTTATTCAAAGCATTCAGAAAGAGCACGCTTCAGTAACAAATCAAAAAGGAGTAGTAACTCTAAAGTCACTCTTCAATACCAAGATCTTTATCAATGGAAAGGCGTTAAATGAAAGCCAGGAGCTGCATCACAATGATAGGTGAGAATAAAAACAACTAATTTAGTTTTTTTGTATCATTTTGTAGTTTCTGTGCATTCTTACATTATTGCTACTTTTTTATGTTACAAACAACACATTGCTGCATCTACAGGTAATCATTCCCCCAAGTACACAGTAAAGATTGTGGATACTTATTGTTTTTGTAGCTTATTAGATGTGCATATATTTTTAATGTTCATTTCAGTATACTTCCTTCCAGTACTGTGATATCATGTGTCGTTTCTGGCACACTGTGAGTAAATATTTTATAGTATCATTATGCCTGTGAATCATGGAGACAGAAAAAATAAAGTACAAACAAACTGGAGGCCACAGACCATAATAATCTATGTGCGCTTCCTCACTGTTTACTCGCTCCCAGAGGGCACTCACGACATCATTTCACCACCAAGTGGTGCAGAACTGGCTAGTCTATTTGCCTGCTCATTTCCCAACACACCAGCTTGACATGGAAAGAATATCCAAAGGATGCTAACTACCCTGGACCTCTGAAGTGATGCTTGCCACTCTGCATGGAGCAAACCTGTCTCCACCTTTTTCAACATGCTTTGTGAGTCAGTCACAATGATGGCATGTGTGTACAACTGATTCTCAAGCCAGCCCAATGCAGCAGTGACTGCCTCCATCTCCATTCTCAAACTAGACGTTGTGATATCATATGCCACGTTTTGTAGCACTATGCTACGTCCACCGCTTTTTGTCAAGTTTTGAGATAACAAGAATCCGGAGAAAGACTGAAGTTGTTGAAGATTTATTTTTTAAAAAAAAGTAAAAAAAAAAATGGACTGAATGACAGAGCTACATAGGTTCATAAGTGTTTTGATCATTATCAGTTAATTGGTAATAATAAAAAGAAAAGCACACAACTTTGGGATACTGATAAATTCTAAAAAGCTTTGATTATTAACAGACATATAGAGAACAGAGGATTATGGAGCAGGATCACCAGAGCTGGCTCAGTATAATAATCCATATGTGAAAGCAGGTTACCTTACTGAATGGAACAACCACTCTGCACTTACCCATTTATACTTTCTTTGTTAAATTATGGTTTGTGATCATATTTGAACATTCCTTCATACACATATCAATCCATTTTCAGAGTTCTGTTTGGACCCAACCACTTGTATGTATTTCACCATCCCCAAGATGAAACTAAATTGAAAAAAGCAGGAGAATCTGTAGAACAGCCAACATATGACAGTGCTCAAGAAGAGCTAGCTAAAGAGTTAGGTCTAATGACTGACAGTTCTGCAATGTCTAAAGGTATTTATCTAGTAAAATATGTTATGTCCCCATGTGGGTTCTGGAGCCCCTTTTTGAGGCAGAGGGAACAAGAACAGATACAATGCTTTCCCAACAATGGTGAAAATAGGGGGGTGATGCAGTCAAGCTAATACAAGGAATTCTAGAGAAATTTGACTTAAAAGCTCAACAAGCAAGTTGTAGGAGTCGATAATTGGGGGCATCATTTGAAGTTGGAATACATCTGCGTGAAGGCAAGGAAAAAACAGTATCAAGATAGTAAGCCAGATCTGTGAAACAAATGTGCACACAACACTCAGGTTTTAGAAGAGGATTAAAATCTTCTGTGGATAAACAGCCACTACTTTTTGCAGGAGTTTACAGCCGGCGAACGTAAAGAAGAATAAGGAAAATTAGTTAATTTTTGTAGTTGTGTCAATCTTCATAATTGTGTAATCAGTAAATCACACGTGTGGCTGTTACTCAGGAGATCCAAGCTAAAATTTTTACGAAGGTGATTGCATTCACTTTCTCTCTCTGTGTTTAGGTGCGTGCGTGGGCATGCGCACGCACACACAAACACACAAAACAATGCAAAACCTTCCAACTGCACTCTACATAGTACAACATTCAACAGTAGTACCACATAAAACAGTACTCGGCGGGGTGGTGGTGGTGGTGGTGGTGGTGGTGGTGGTGTGTGTGTGTGTGTGCGTGAATGCGCGCGCATGCGTGCGTGTTCATGCATGCATGTGTGAGTGTATGTGTGCATGCATGTGTGAAACGCATGTGTGTTGCAGTCTATTAACTTTCATAATGCAGTCAATAGTGGTGATTTAAACAGAGTATGAGTTGAACACACATTATATATGTGAGTATAATACAAACTATGGGCTGAGCTGCTAAGTTGACAAATAATATTTCAGAGGATCTAATTCTCCAAGACTATCTAATTGAACTACTTCCAAAAGTTAATGAAGCTAATGCGATGTCCGAGGAGCTGGGCAAAAAAGTGAAGTTTGAGATCTGTCTCATATCACCTCAGGCTCGGGGACTTCGAGATGGATTGACAGAGGTAGGTATTTTTAAAATCTTCTTTCGCCATTACATATTTCTACTAGTTCAGTGTTATGTCACTGACTGTCTTATTGCAGAAACCTAATTGTTAACTTTATAGCACTCTGAAATGTGAACCCGCCATTGCTGTCATTGCCTCATTGGTGTAAAGCATATGAAACCAGAATGTCTGTTGTGACCTGTTTTCAAGAAGCATAGATTACTGTCATTGGTAAGTAAGTAAATTTTACCCTACCAGGATATTGTCAGAGGCCAGTGCGGCTATGGGAAGCATTACAGATGAAAGTGAATCATCACGTTTGTACGAGTTGACCTTCAGTACAACTCAGTATGAGAGCGGACAGCTTGACCACGCAATAAACTGGGTCCAGTTAACAGGCCAGGTCGAGTTCACTCAGCTGACGGATTGCTGCGTGTCAAGCCATGAACTTGGGGGGAAATACAAAAGGCTTTGTCCAAGCTGGTTTGAGGAGAGTCGTGTGCTGAGACAGGAGACAAGACGGACGCGTTCTGACTAGGTAACGTTAGGATTTAGCGACGGTTAGTTGTAATAGGGTATTTGTATTTCGTATTGATGATAGGCTGTGTTTCTATTTAATGTTTAGACTAGATAGTATAGAGTTAAGGTTCTTTGTGTAGTAGACATTCCATGCAGTATTTGTTTGAGCAGTTAATCAAGGTGACGCGCACTGTAATGGCGATAACACTGCCCGGTCACGCTTAGGCCATACACCTTATGTGTATCGCTGAGTCCCGTTTGGCAATAGACGGCGGATTAATTAGCACTAAGAAACTAGCAGCTAAGAATCGTGTTCCTGATAGATCCATTGGAACTGGCCTGGGTTGATTAGTGAGTGTAAAGCTGTCATCGCCAAGGCAGTTTCGGATGGGAACTGCTTAGCTCAGTTGAAGTGTTTAACGTCGTGTTGTTCATTGTCCATTAAAGATTATGTTTGTACTCAGCAGGAGTATTGTCTTAAGGATATCTGGGTAGTTAAGTCTGTCAGCTGGCCTACCTAGCGAGCCATATTAATTAAATAGAGTAAATTAGAATCCTGACAGATAATGGGGTCGTTCGTCCTTGTGAGTTGAATCCTGACAGATAATGGAGTCGTTCGTCCTTAGGAGTTGAATCTGGAATAGCGATAGATAATAGATACTGACAATTTATTTATATTATTAGCTGTTGCGTGATTTGTTGCGTTTATAGTCGTCTTTTCACAAAGTTAGCACTAGATTATATAGGTTATCGTCCTCTTAAAAAAATTAGATTTAACTATTGAATTGATTTCTTAATGTATGATGACGTCGTTGGGATGGCTCCCTTAATTAGTGACAACGTGATCGAAATCAGTTCTTAATAGTGGATAGTTAGATCGAGAGTTAATTTATATAGTTATAGAAGCTAGTTTGTGATCGTTTGTTACATTGTGCTGTTATTGTATCAACTAAATGTCCTTAGCATTAATAACTGATTGTGTTAGGAACATGTGGCGAGTAGGATAACCGACAATGACAAGTAGTTTCATATAATTGTGTGTGCGCCACGTGCTGAGTGAGTGAAGAAAGTACATAGAGCGATAAACACCCGGTGACACAAAGTGCCACCATGCAGATGAGGATTACCCGTGGAGAGGTCCCGGAAACTGCGTTTAACCATTAGGCTATATTGCCGGCCCTGGCAACAGCCAGGGTGGGGGCTTCAAAATGAAAGAAAAAATTTGCTTTCCTCAAAGGGGAACAACGAAGATATGTCATTGGTTCTGTTTGTGCCAGCATAGCATTCAGGAAGTCTGGAAAAGAATATATTACTAAAAAAATAGCATTTGGCAAAGACATAACACCCGAAATAAACAAAAAATAAACACCCACACAAAACACCAACAAGGCCCCTATGATAACAACTCAAAGAATGAAATGCAGTGGTTGATAATGTTAATCATTTACACAGATTAACATGGGACCCCTATGCTCATAAGGCATTTGAGCAAGTGTTCAGAGGGTACATGCATTAGGACAGCAATGTTCATGGGCCAATGCGTTGAGACGACAATGTTCATGTGGTGTAAGAATCACATTTATATAGACACATTACCACTCAGTGGTTACCAACATCATTTTACCAACCACCTTTATATCCTAGGAATTTTCTAGTACTCACTATAGGTTAGATTGAACTAGGAATCCAGGTTTTTAACAAAAATCTGCCTAGATGTAGATTTAAACCCAGGACCTTTAGACTGGTAGGCAGGCATCTAGCCACTGTGCTGCCTTGACTTTCAACCAGTAATCATAAATATTGTGGACAGAGAGAAGATGGGAGTGAAAGAATAACAAATGAAAGTAATTAAAATATAGCTAGATCAGATACTGCTATTGGTCTGCAAGATACAGAACTGGATATAGAACTTGACCAACTGGACAAGCCTTAGGCATACAGTCGTGAAGTCCATTGCTTTTGACTGTCAAAGGTGTAGGGAGCTGATTAGACTGTCAACAGCATCTGGCAAACCAACAACCTGCAGTGTTACGGGATGATGATGATGATGATAAGATGCTGCTAAAAGTTAAAGATTAAAGAGTATCGACTTCATTGCACTGGGTTTTATCCCGTATGGCTCGTTCTGTTTCAGCAGAAAGGCTAGCCACCTGCCAAGAGTGCTGCGCAGAGCATGAACTGCATAACTCTGGCGATGATTCCCAGGCATCTGTAAAAATTGCACTTATAAACTGAAGCATTCAGCGGTAATGAATCCTTGACTTTTAGAGCACAAAGCAAACAGCTTAACTACTTCGCCATGGAGACCCCCTGAGAACTGCTATTAGTATTTAAAGAACTAGGTCTTCGCAACCCAGGGATGTTAAGTTTTGGCTAACAAAATACTGATTCACATGTTTAGAATGAGTGAGTGCTTGTGAGGAACAGTGTATATAATAAAAAAATAGACATGTAATGATTAGTTCTCATAGAAATAAGTAGAAAGATGGAAAGACACATGACAGCATACAAATCCAAAGCTGTAGTCAGGAATATTGTAACTCCTTTATGGCAACACACCCACCTGTTTCTTCATATCTGGTACAGATGTTTTATTTAGCTAAACACATTATTCTTCAGGTTCCTCAGGCTCCATGGTCTCATAAAATGTCTCCAGAGTTGAAAATCATTTTAAGGGTCCCAGTTTGAATCACAAGATAACATTGTGCAGAGTACGATGGCTGAACTATACAGTGCAGACTGCTTAAAGTAATCTTGGATGTGGCTAATTTCTGTTGTGAAGTGAATTTATTGATCCCAAGCAATTTTTCTTGTTCGAACTTTTATCTGGATTAAAAAAAATAATTTCTAATAAAAAGAACCATTTCTTTGGTTCCTGCTGAGTTCTCCTTATCATGTCTACACTGTACTATGTTCCAAAGAAGGTTTCCCTAAAATTTTTATAAAATTGATGGGATCCCTATGAGAAATGTGTATAGTTCCAAGGAGACTACCTTAAAAAGGGATTATTTTTTCAGACCTCCAGGCAAGTAATTGTATATTAGTGGCAACAGATTGGATGTATTTTAAACAGGTTTTGTATCTGTGATTACATTATAGAACACAAATTCTTCCAGTTGTTTATATATGTTTTGTGGATATTACTTTCAGGTGATGGTCAAAATGAATATGGAAAATGGAAACAGGTGGCTGTTAAACCGCAATACTTTCATAGATAAGAAGTATCTGATGGAGGAAATGTATCAGAATTATATACAAGGAGATCCAAACTGGGATTTACCAAAGGTAAGCAACCCTTGAAATATAGATGAATGGCTAACTTTGTCATATGTTTTTCACATAAAAACTTGCACATATGGCTATTGTAATTATTTTTAATATAGTTTTGCTATACACAGGAGAAAGACCCCTTCTGGCAGTCACACAAAACTCCTGTGCTTGTAGGCACTGCTCACGTTTACCTGAAATCAGTCGCTCACCTTGTTGACATGGATGACAGCTTGATCATTATGGATTTTAAAGGCAAAGAAGCAGGTAGGACCATTATAGTTTCCTATCAAATTAATTCATGTCAATGAATTCAAATATCTGGGTACAATCATAACATCAGACAGAAGATGTGTGTCAGAAATTAAGAGCAGAATAGGCCAGGCTAAGGCTGCATTTCAAAGAACGAAGAACATCTTGTGCAACAGAACCCTCTCTGTGGATGTCTGAAAGAGAGCACTAAAATGTTATTTAGAATATATATTGCTATTTGGTAGTGAATCATGGAATGTGAATGCACAAACTAAAAAGAACTTGGAGGCGACAGAGATGTGATTTCTCAGACAAATGTTAAGAATCCCTTGGACTGCCAGAGTAGCTAATAAGGATTGCTTGAAAGAAGCTAATGAAAGCAGATCAATGTATACAGCTATTAGGAAAACACAAGCACTGTTCTTTGGTCAGGGGAAAAGGGGGAGGCTTTGGAGAATATTGTGACAACTAGGAAGATCAAGGGTAGAAGAGGGAGAGGGTGACCGAGACAGATGATGATGGATGGATTGTGACAGTGGCATAGAGGGATATCATCAGTGGAACTGACCCAGAGTACAAGGGACCGAGATTTGTGGAGATGCATAAACACCTATATCAGTCAGCAGGGCACGTGATAATGATGATAACTGTAGAATGCTTTTTGTGTTTTTTTTTTTTGTTAAGGGCAAGTTGTAGACTTTTCTTATATTATCTGTTGAGCAAGAGCAAGAAGAGGTGGTTCATATTGTTGCTGTAAACTGTATATCGTTATTGATGGGTCCTGTATGAGTTGTAATGAATAGTTGAAATCTCAAACTGCAAAAGGTTAATTGACAAAACCTCCCTCGGATGAGGCTCACCAGTTTATTCATGAATACAAACAGCCTGATGGGTTGTCATGATCCTGTCAGGTCAACTGAGATCACATTCAACATTGTCTCTAGCCTACTGTCTGCTGATTAACCATTAGAACATCTTAGTAACCTTATCCTTCCAAGGTTTATAGATGCTTGTTCATTTTCACAATGTCACATCCAGCTTGGGGTGAATTCTTATAGGCCACCAATCAATTATACATTGTGTATAATTAATCCTAAACAGGGAGGTTTTTCTTCCGTCAACATAGTATTCAGTTTTGACCTAGTTAATGCAGTGGCTTGATCTCTAATTCATAGCAATCATAATGGCTGAGTTAGCATTCTAGTAAGGCAGCTCTTGCAAAATTAAGTAACACAACCATTGAAGGCAGCAGCCGTCAGCCTTACTATTGTGCTTCTTGTATCTGTACTAGATGGTTTATCTGAAATGTAAGTCAGAGCACATTCTTAAATAAATACAGATAATGGTGACATAATATTCTTGGGATAAAACGAAGCAAATTAAAAATAAACCAGGAGAAAAGAGCAAAATACTTTGTGATATAGTAGACTGTTGGCATATATTTAATACATAAACATATCTCGACAGTCCAGAGTTAGGCAAACAGAAGGAATATGTGGATGGTCTAAGACTGCCTGGTGAAATTCAGAGTGAAACAATGAACATTGGTTTTCTGTATTTCAGTCAATGGATTTAATTTTTTGGTGTTTTATTATACAGGGTGTATTTTTAATGACTGTATTGTGCAACATATACTCCTACAGTGTGTCTTATTTTGGGTACTGTTTTCCACATTGTAGAACTATTCACATATAATTCTACTGGTTAAATTGCAAACAGTATTAGGATGAGGCACTTGAATATCAGAAAATGACATCATTAATTGTTGAACAACCACATTTGAATACCTGCCACAAGCTGAACCAAAAATACTTTTTCTTCACTAGTTAACACCATTATAGTCAAGATCACTTAGTAAAACACTGTTATTTAGCAGTAATATTCTAAACTAATGGTTATATGGCACTTGAAACATGACATAATACACACATTTAATTATGGTGCACAAATAATTAATTTTAAAAAGTCTACAGTCATTAAACATACAGCCTATATGATGTTTCCCTGTGTAGGTTTCAGAGCCTCCTTGAGGAAAACAAGAAAAGACACACTGTCCACTAAACAGCATGTCCTAAGAGGCAACTAATTACAGATTTCTAGAATTCGGATGTGTTGGGTTGAAAGGCCCAAGGTTGTTTCCTCATTATTTTTAAGAACAGATGTTGTTTTCTGCAGTGATAAAGTTAACAGTTATTTCTGATATTGTTTTTCAGGTCATCTGCTGATTGAACTTATTCCTTGTGATGCAAAGTGGAATGTGCTAAAATCTGATTTTTATCTTGATGATCCTAATGAACTGGTTTGTGTTATATGTATATTTCTCTATCATATTTAAGATTACCCTAATTACCTATGTATGCAAGAACTAATGCATGAAAGGAGAGAGAATAATGGGGCAGAATGTTATATTTTGTTGTTGATTCTTATGAATTGATTTGTACTATGTGTATACTCGCTGTCTTATTTAAGATTAGCCTAATAATCTATGTATGCAAGAACTAATGCATTAAAGGAGAGAGAATAAAGGAGCAGTATATTTTTTTTTCATCATATGTTGATTTAACTTTGTAGTAATGCACCAGCAAAATATACCAGGCAATAAATTGTGTAGTGCATTGATTGTGTCCGCATTATTTAAATATTTGTTGTTGTTGATTCTTATTAATTGTTTTGAACTATATGTATACTCACTGTCTTATTTAAGACTAGCCTGGTAATCTATGTATTCATGAACTGATGCATAAAAGAAGAGAGAATAACAGTGCAAAACTTTATATTAGCCAGTATGCCCAATTCTGAACCCTTTAGAAATACTGCTTGTTCTGCCATTATCTTTGTCTGTCTTTATTTCAAATATAACCCTAATTTATTTTTTCTCAGAATGTGACTCAGTGAAATTGTTATGTTAATGCCCATGTTTGGCATTTATAGAAAAATGTTGATAAAAAAGATTGTGTTTATGATTTGTCTTTTAGTTTTCATTCGTATTACTGGGTGTTTCAGTATTGGGTAAAGTTGATAGGTATCACTGTTTGCTTGCTGGATTCTGGACTTGATCTCTCTGTCCAGTCTGCCATCTGATGTGAAGATGCTTCCAAAATATTTGAATTCATTTGACTGATTTAATGAATGTTCGTTAATTTTTATGTCGATATTTTGATGTTCCCTGTTTGCGTCCATTATTTCTATTTTTTTCTATGTTGATCTTTGTGTTGTTCTGGAGACAGCTATTGTGGACTGCATTAATGTCTTCCTGTAGTTGTTAAGTTTTATTACAGAATTGTTTCTTCTATTTAGGTGGTAAAATCTATATAAATAATGAAGAGCAAGGGTGATAGAACACATCCTTGTCTCACTCTGGAGCAAAACCTTGTTTTACAATGTTAAAAATACAAGGTCCCATGTTCACATTGCAAAAACAAATAAAATCACCTTGCATCTCTGCAAGATGGTGCTGGAAAATGGACTTCAAACAAAACAAAAGAACGTAAAAGATATTGAATGTATAATACTGGTATTACATTATCTTCACAATAAAAATATGCAAAAAAAAGAAAACAAAAAGAACAGATTCATAATTTATTGCCTAGCATATTTTACTGAACTTTATCAGGTGCATACTACAGAAACAGTTGAATACACTGTAGCAAATAAACGAATCCTTTTAGCTGAAATACAAAATCAAGTACACTAAAAAGAAACTGCTCATTTTATCATTGCAAACACAAGTTCAAGGACATGTCTTTTTGTCTGCACACATCTGGATTGAAGCAACAGAGAAACATTGCTTTGATCTATCATGCCTGTTAGCTTTAACCTATCAAGCCACAAAATGATTTAAAAGTTATCTTTCTTTATGAAATTTTTTTTTCGTAACATAGAGATAAAAAGCATAAATTGTAATAATCTTGGACACTTTAAATACCCTCATACCTGAGAACACTAACTTAACGTGAGTAATGGTTTTGAAATATTTTTTTACCATATTTTGAAAACAGTATAAGTTAACTGGAAAACATTTTTTGGATTAATTAATATTTTCAAATTAATTTTATTTTTCTGTGCAAGATGACTTTAACATTAATCAGATTAGAAGGATACTAAAGTGTTTATCAGTACATTTTACTAGTTTTTTTTATTATGATCTATAGACTAATTTATCTGTGAAAAATTTTTTTTTCTAATTTAGATGGGGCAACCATTATATTTAAAGTTCAGAATCAAAGGAGCAAGAGGAATTCCAGCAAACTTTCACACTGTAAGTATGACTGTTGTATTTTAGATAGATTCAGCCTTACTTTAAATAAATTAAACAAATTTGTTGGGCATCCTTTACAGGACAAACCCAAGCATTGATCTCGCTGTTTGTGTTCAGTAGTTGCCACTGATTTCTAAACTCACAGCTCTCATTACCGCTGTTAAAACCAATGTAGAGTGGTTTGCTGCCATATCACCCTCAGCTTGGATTGAACCTGGAGTTATGAAACGTGTTCACAGTGCCTAAGCCATTTAAACCTACTTTAAAGTACATTATACTGTTTAAATAGATTGTTCTACATCAGAAAAAGATTATGAATTGTTATTTTGTTTGCTTCCCAAGTAAGGTTGACGGGCGATGGCATAGTGGTTAAAGTTTTATATGTATAGTGAAGCTACAAATTGTGTTCATTTTCTAACAAGAATAACAACTTCACAGACACATCGCAAGTATAGAATATTTTGTGTTTGTGTTTATCATGGACCAAGATAAGGACGAATGAGAAGAGAGTTACTGAAAGAAATAAAAAAGAGACAACTGGCATACTTTGGTCACATTATAAAACATAACACGCTTTTGATGACCATACTGGAGGGAAAGATCAAAGGCAGTAGAGCAAGAGGAGGGCAATGATACAAGTGCAAGGACAATATCAAGAGATGAACAGGCAGCAGTCTGTGAGAGTGTACAGTCAGGGCAAGAGTCAGAGCATGTTAATCCATTGCAGCTAACCTTCACTGTGGAGATGGCACCTGATTGATTGTGTGTTTAAAAATGCCACATTTTTTGCTTTATTAAGCATATAAAACAATTCTAACAATGTCTTTATCAGCTAGTGGTTAGACTCAAAGGCTTAATGATATCAAAGATTTCTTTTCTGTAAAACCAAATATTTTTCCATTCATTTTCAGACCAATTGTTCATACAAGTTTTATCTGGATGATAAGCCTACTAAAACCAAGGAAATTAAAGGCACAATCAACCCAGATTATGATCACGACAGACAAATCAGCTTCAATTCTGTTACACAACAGGTGAGCAGACTGAATGTATTAAATATCTCCCATTTTGTTTTTATGCTTTGTCAGTCATGTATTTCCACAGATGTCAATTTCAAAAAGCTTGACAATTTAGAATAGAATTTGTCAGTAAGTAAAAGTAAATAAAGGACCTTTTTCCACCCCATCAGGCGTATTGGGCAAATAGTGTTGTTGTTGTTGTTGTTATCGATCCAGCGGCGCATGAGCTTTCGCCCTTTGGCCCAATGCCATGTAGTGGAATTTGCATGTTTTCACAAGCTGTTCTTTTCCTCCGTACAAGGTGTTCCACTTGTCTGGTCTCGGAGGGAGTAGCGTTCTTCTTGTCTCACTGAGTTTTGGGCACTCAAAGAGATGGTGTTCAACAGTTTCGTAGGGGTAGTTACATAGCTGGCACTCTGGGGAGTGTTGTGGCTGTATTCTGTTTAGGTGTCCATTGAGTGGAGTATGTTGCGTTCTAAGTCTGAAGATGGTGGCCTGGTCCCTTCTTGTTAGATGGTTAATGCTGTCATTAGGATCAGGGCCAGACATATGTCTATAAACCTCTCTTCCAGTGTCTCCCATGGCCCATCTGTTCAACCAAGTCTCTTTGTTTATAGCTCTTATCAGTGTTTTTGCTGTCTGGAGGGTTGTCGCTGTAGGTGGTTGTTCTTGTGTTGCTCCTTTCTTTGCCAATCTGTCAGCTCTGTCATTACCTGGTGTGCCGGAGTGACCTGGAATCCACTGCATCACTATTCTGATGTTGTATGAGGTAATAAGATGATCGGCATCCAGGATTATCTTGGCTATGTCAGTTCTGCAGCGTTCATTGCCCTCCAGAGCTTGAAGGGCAGACATTGAATCTGTGAAGATGACATTATTTTGGACCTTTGAGGGGTAAACATCCATTACAGTCTTTAGGTGGTATACTGCTGTTTCCAGTGCAATTGTTTCAGCTTCATAGTTTGAACAGAATTCCCCGCATGCATCAAAAATCTCTTCAACAGATCCATCGGGATAACCTATGTAGATTCCGTAACCTGCTTTAATGGTAGCTTTAAATGCTGATCCATCAGTATAGACATGTATCCATTCTTGGGGGTAAGAATCAACGGTCTTTAGTGATGAGTTCATAAGAGCGATTGGGTCGGACTGTTTGGTTTCCTCGCCTACCAATTTAGTTTGGACTTCTGGAGCTTTAAAGCGAGCATGTGGTGGTAGGTTTTTTGCAACATTCTGAATTCCTTGACGTCTTTCTGGGAGGTGGTATCTGTCCTGAATTTCATTTACACAGTGTAAAACCGATTTGTGCTTTATTCTTTGTTTGGATTCCCAGTTTTCTACAAGATGTCTATTAGGATGGTTACGATTTTTCCTAACGCATCTTTCATAAATTTCTAAAGTGGCTTTTTCTCTCCGCAACCCGAGGGGTTCCACATTTGTATGGATTTCACATGCAGCAGTTGGTGTAGACTGCATAGCTCCGCAGATTAATCGGAGGGCATTATTTTGTACTCTGTCAAGAGTCTCTAGGTTAGTTTTGGAACAAGTTGTAAGCAGTGAGTTGTTGTACTCTATCACAGAGCGAACATATCCTAGGTATAAGCCCCTCAGAGTTTCCTTGTCTGATCCCCATGATGTACCTGCAAGTCTCTTTAATAACTGTAACAGCCTCAATGCCTTATTCCTGATGTTTTCAATATGGTTCTTGAGGCTGAGCTGCGGGTCAAGTGTGACTCCAAGGTATGTGGGATGCTCTTCTTTCATCACTTGGTGTTTGTCTAACCTCAGGTTAATATTCTTCCTTGCTACTTGGTGGCTTTTGGTAAAGATTGTGTAGACCGTCTTTGCACAGTTAATCTTGAGTTTCCATCTTTGGCAGTAATCATGCAGTCTTCTAAGGTCTCCATTCAGTCTTTGGGCTCCACTTTCCACATTTTCATGACTCTGCCATATTGCTAGGTCATCAGCGTACAAGGCTTTTTCGGCCTTGATTTGTTCTGGCAGGTCATTGATAAAGATTAGGAATAGTGTACAGCTCAATGATGAGCCTTGTGGCAAGCCCTCCTCCAAGACTTCTTTAGAAGAGATTGCGTTGTGCATCTTAGTCTGGATTGTTCTATCTATCAGGAAGTATTTCACCCAGTTATACAATCTGCCATGTATTCCTATGCTCATCATCTTCATCAGGAGACCTTTTCTCCATACTCTGTCATAGGCCTGCTGGAGGTCGACAAAGACTGCCACTGTTTTTTTCTTATTCTGGAAGCCATCATGTATTCTTTGTGTCAGTCTGAACAGCTGGTCTTCTGTGCAGCTGTTGGTTCTGAAGCCTGCCTGTTCATGGCATAGAACACCAGAACTCTCAAGGAACCAATATAAGCGCCTGTTTATCATTCTTTCTGCAACTTTGCCCAAGCATGATGTTAAGGATATCGGGCGGTAGCTTTTGGGGTCATCTGGAGGCTTTTTGGTTTTAAGGATGGGGACGATATATGCATTCCTCCATGCCCTTGGAAGTTTGCTTGACCTCCAAGTTTTATTAATAAGCCTGAGAACTACTTCTCTCCCAGACCGGCCAAGATGTAGCAGCATTTCGTTGTGGATCTTATCTGGGCCTGGAGATTTTCTAGGTTTTAATTTCTTCAGGGCTTGCTCTAATTCATCCATGCTAAATTCATTTTCAAAAAGGGAGTCGCTGGCTGTTGGAGCTCTCTTTTTGTTTCTTCAACTGAGAGAGCTGTGTTCTATCGAGTTCTGACAGCTTACCTGCTCTGTTAACCGAGGCAAAATAATGATTGAAATGTTCTGCTTTCTTCTTGTCTTCAGTGATTGTCTTACTCCCATCTGTCACTGGTTTTGGGTTCACCCTTCTACTTTCTCCGGAGAGGTTTTTAACTAAAGTCCATGCTTTATTTCCATTCTAAGGTCTAAGTTGGAGCAAGTTTCTGTCCATTTATCTCTTTTAGCCTTATTAACTACAAGCTTTACTCTGGCACATGCTTTATTGTATTGGATCTTTGCTTCTGTTGAACGTGCAGTTTCGAGAAATATTCTTGCTTTATTCCTTTCAGATATAGTATTTTGAATTTCTTGATTCCAAAAAGGTTTATATGCCTTCCGGCTGCCCCTTGGGATGGCTTTCGACGCTGCATTCAGGATTGCTTGTGTTATGTCTTCACAAAAAGTTTCCACACAGCTGTTGTCAATTCTTCCCAGGAGGTAGTCAGATGTTTCCTGAAATAGTTTCCAGTTTGCTTTTCGGAAATTCCAACGGGTTCTCTGCTTGAAGCGTAATTTAGGGGTGGTGCTTACAGTTGTGAGTATAGGTTTGTGGTCACTTCCTATGTCGTCCAGGACTTGGGGATAGCTTGCGTCTGCTAAGTCGGATGAGCAGATGGTCAGGTCTGGTCTGCTGAGAGATAGGTGGGCCCTGTGTAACAGTGTAGGTGTAGACTCTGTGTCCTGCAGCACTAATAGGTTAGTTGTTTCACAAGTATCTTCGATGTACTTCCCTGTGCTATTGTAGTCAGGGTAACCCCAACGTGGCGAGTGTCCGTTGAAGTCACCAACAAGAAGGGTTTTATGGTACTGTGTCTTGTATAGTTCTGGTATGTTGCATGTTGTCTGAGGTGGGCTGTACATGTTGTATATCGTGTATTTTGCTTCCATTGTGCCAGATAGTTATTTTTTGCACATCTGTAGGGTGAGATGTCGACAGCATTGTTACATCTCCTTGTATGTCATTTCTGATATAGGTCACTATGCCCCGGCAGTCATTGCACTTACAGGCATAACTAGTATATCCAGTGAGATGCAGATCAGAGTCTTTATGCAGGGTTTCTTGTAGGGCAGCCACGTGTACCCTGTGGTTGTTTAGCAGTTTGGCAAGTTCAAGTTTCTTATTTCTTATTCCACAGATGTTCAGCTGCAGAATATTGAGCATCTGTGTATTTTTTGCTGTGCTGTCTGAGTTCTTTTTGCTCTCCCTCCCACTCTTCCTCCTCCTGGGGTGTCTGTTTTCCCTATTTATTTCAAATTTTCCAGTAGCCAATTTTTCGCACATGACAGCCTGGTTTCCCACTGTCTGGCGCGGGCCTTGATAGACGAGGCGACGACCGATCTCGTATGTATTCTTAAATTTTGACATATTCATGGCATTGTGGTGCTGGGGTGTCTGTGGATTACCTACCTCTCCGGGCAGCAGCTAGAAATGCCCTGTACCAGTTCTAAAGGAAATATGGGTTGTGTTTCTGCCTTTCCCTTTAACACGTAGCTAAGGTGGGGCTCACAGTGTGCTCATTCCCCGCCACCAGATTGCCTGCAGGTTTCGCTGAGCTCTTCATGTCTCTAAGCATGGCCTAAGCATGAGTAGTTGGGGCAACTGGATCGTCACGTCCTGAGTCCCTGTGCCTTCACGATAGTTTCCGGTATTCAGGGGGGTTAGCATACTTGTTTCCATTCTTACGACTGTTCAGCACACCTCTGGCTCCTTCCCTCCCACAGGGGGCAGTACGGTGTGGTGCACCGGGTTTATTATCGAGGTTTGCTCCTCTAGATCCATTGTGTTTTGCCTGGGGATTCGCACCCCCAGTTACCGGGACTACCTCGGGGAGGCTGTGACTCTTCGCCACGCACAATGGTCTTGAGGTAAGAGAGGTTTTGCTAGGTCAAGAGGCTGACACCACAATGGACGCTCCTTTCGTGAACAGATATTCACTAGACCTAGGGTGAAGTAAGGGGGGGAACCCACTACCCACAACACCAACACTTCTTACCCCCTGCCTCTCGAGGCTCAGTCCCGCAAATAGTGTTAGATCTATATTTCGTAGACCAACTGGCAATCGGTGGGCAATGTGGTCAACATCATGTTGGTCGCCTTCACTTCCCAGGACTTTACCTGGTACCCATTTTTGGCTGGGCGGATCTCTGTACCCATACATTTTATACTACAGGAAGATTCTTAGAATATCATGGACAGGATGAGGACAAAAAAAAAGTATTACCCTGACAGTGATTACAGGTTATCAAGGACACACTGAAAACTCTTGAGGCAGAAAAGTTGGCAATGGATTTAATCCTTTTGAGCATTGCCATAATCTCATATTGAAAGTGACATTCTCCAAAGTACCTACCTAATGACATAAAATAGCATTGCCTTTCATTCTTTATCAATGTACATTGTGTGTGTATGTTTGTGTGTGTATTTGTGTATAAGTATATATATATATATATATATATATATATATATATATATATATATATATATATATATATATATATATATATATATATGTGTGTGTGTGTGTGTGTGTTTATATATATATATATATATATATATATATATATATATATATATATAGACAGAGCAGTGCTGTTCTGATCTGGCAGCTTCTGACAGCATGTTTTGTTCCAAACATTTTGATATGATCTTTCCTTTGAAGTAAACAAGACAAGCCGAGAAAGACAATATGCTGCATGTGTAACACATGGTCTATAGGCATTGTGCTCTGGAATGTGCTGTGATGCATGGATGGGAGAAAATCAAGGAAGAAAAAAAAAAGAGAAAAGACAGCAGTTGGGTTAAGAGGTGAGTGTTTGAGAGGAATCACATTAAATCCATGCGATGGCAACAAAAAAATTAGGAAGAGTTTGGAGGCAGCTAAGAAGTGGTTCTTGAGAAGAATGTTGCGAATACCTTGGACTGCCAGAATAACTAACAGTGATTGCTGAGAAAAGGCTAATGAAAGTAGAATATTATATACAACAGTGGGAAGGAGAAAAAGTTTGTTGATCGGGCGGGCAAGTGGGTATAGCTAGTCATATTCACCATTGCTATTAGCCTTAATTCCTGTTTGTCTATGACACAATATAATACTGTCAGCTGGAACTATGGAAAGGTGCAAATAATGCACACGTACTCATGCACAATTTGCATCTATCATACACACATGCTGCACACATACAGTCATACATATACACACACATATAATTTAAAAGCTTTGCTGCATTTAACAATCAAAGAGAAAAAAAAATCCTCATATTGGAAAGAATTTAATTGTTACTCAGAATATGGTCATTAATAATATATCAACAACACCCCCCCCCCCCCCCCCCCCCCCCCCCGCCCCCCAAATTTTTTGGTGTCATCATTAAACATTAAATATATTACACAAACAGACATGTATTGATTGGAACTTATCTTAAAAAGAAAATGAAAATTTAGATGAAGCAGAAAAACCATTTAATATTTTTTTTATAAACATAACATAACATAGCCCTTGACCCATTAGGGTCGTGGAGGTGTATTGATGGAAGCACTAACACATAAAACCCGTCATCTTTCTCTGTCTTTCGCTTGATAAGTGTATAATAACTTAGTCCTGTCCATATCTTGATGTAGTCATTCCAGTTTCTTCTTTGCCCTCCTCTTCTTTGACTACCACCCAGTGTTCCTTGAAGTACAGTCTTTGCAGTTGAATCATGTCTCACCACATGCCCAAACCAAGTTAGCTTGCAACATTTCACTATTGCCAAGATAGGCTCCTGATGTCCAGCAAATTTGCATATTTTGTCTCTGACATATTTATTACACACATTTATTCTAAACATAACAGCTGCTTGATTACCTCAGCAAAGAATCTGTAACAGTTGAAGTGTGGGGTCAACAGAAAGAGGAAATTATTAGACCAAAGACAGAGAACTCAAATACTGTACGTCTGACCAGAAAAAGTGCTAAGCTGAAGGTTAGTAAAAAAAAAAAATGTGAATATTATATTCAGGGCTCTTTTTGTTCTGGCGGTATGTAACGATATGCAGCACTTAAATTTTTTAGGCATCACATTTTTCAGTGCAACTGTAATTGAATCTGTGTGGTGAGTATCTGGCACATTGTTTAGACTGTGGTGAATACCAGTACCTTTGTTTTTTATTGAAAAAAAAACAACCCTTGATTAAACTGAGGTGTGATACTAAGTATTGGTGAAAGTTTGTTAGTTTAATAGTCTTATACAGTTTTTTGTGAGTCTATTCAGCTATCACTGGTTGTATTTGGGATTCTTATTTGGCATGTCTGTTTAAATTATATTATGAATTTTGTTGCTGTTTACTTCCTGCATCAGATAGTGTCTCTTTCTAGGACTGGACACTTTTTTGTGTGGAAAAAAAATACACAAGGAAGACGGTCCTTCAAGAAGCAGACAAAAACTACGGATTGATTTGAGAACTTAAATAAAGACAGCTAATACTTCAAATTTAGCCTTTCTACCAGAATCACATTTAAATCCCACATCAAGCATCTTTACACAATACAATTTGCTTCGCCTGTCAGTGAGTCCTAAGCTGTCAGTAGACTGCAGAAAAGTAAATATCTTTCTCTAGTTATTGAGGTGTATCACACATATGGTGCTAGTTTCTTGTTTGTATAAACTTCATTAGTGATCTGATAAGTATCAAACTGGCAATCTTTGCTGTCCATAAATTTTTGTTGTACTCATACTCTTTCAGTACCTTTAGTTGTCATATGAGATGCCAAAGAAAGAAATAACGATGGTGAAAAATCATGAATGTATTACTTTCAAAGCGCCAATATAAACAGTAAAAATTTCTAGTGGATTAGCCAGATTTGTTTTTAGTATGTTTGGACTAAAGTTCAAAATTAAGAGAGCACAGTATGCTGTCGAGGGAAATCAAGGGATAGAACCACTCACACACCAGGTGTTGCCTAAGACTGAAAGAGATAGGGTTGGGGTCACCTGGAAACCTAGATGAGTTACTCACACACCAGGCATTGTTTGAGACTGGTAGAGAAAAGGCAGGGGGGACCTGGAAACCTAGGTTAGTTTAAAACAATCTGCCATGATTAGAATTTATAAAAACTACCCCCACCAGGCAGGCCGACAAGATTCCTAGAGACTGCACGAGCACAGATTCCCAGTTAAAGTTAGCCTTCACATCTCTCTTGCTCATGTTAAGTGTTCCCACTGCAGCTGACTTGAAACTCAAAGGTACTTTACCATACTGATTTTAGATTCAAGTAAATTATATTTACAAGCATTAGAAATAATAATCTGGATGTAGAGCGGTATACTTCAAAATAACACCTCCCCTCCCCCCCCCACCCCCCCACCCCCACCCCTCCATTTTATTCTGTTACTGCCTGTATTTAGCTCTTTTTGCAGTGTAGGTGTGGGTGGTGGGGGCTGAGGTCTTTTAGCTAAGGATTTAGGACTGCATGACTAGTATTTTCACTACCAACTATGCAGATTAGAATTTTATTTTTACAGCCAACAGCAAACAGTCCATAAATTTACCAGGAATTTGAATTTGGATCATTTAATTTTTTAACCATCAAACCAATCGCTGCTTTTGAAAATAAACAAGTATTTATAAAAGATGCAGATGAAATGAACTAAGCATCACTGGAAAGATAGGTCTCAGTAAAATTAGTTTAAAAGGTTTCACTGGTTTCTGTTGCAGGAAGACATTCAAAAACAAATTGACCTGGCCAAGTCAATGGGAATGAACTCTATACCTGTAAGTGTACCCTTATGCTGTTTCGAGATATCTTATTTGTAAAATAATACTATTTCATAACTAATTGATAGTGTATGGTATCCTGATTTATCAGATATTGCTTACAGAGATTGCATGCATGACAGGATGTTTTAGTCTAATGCTTTGATAGGCCTGGACATTTTCACAAGAGCCATTGGTTTCAAATGATATCACACATGCTTCTGATTTTGTGTGTGTGGATAGGGTGGTTTGATACCTAGCCTTCTTATATACAGGCATAAAACAGAGGTGATGTAAACAATCTACATCTTAAAATTCCCCGGACAGATGGAAATCACACACAGTTGCAACAAGAGCAATATCCTTGCAAAAAATATAAGGAAAGAACAAGCTACCAATGGATAGATGGAGTTTGCTACCTAAATGTAAACCATAAATAAATGCATCCTGAAGATGGACACACTGACTGTAGAGATGCATAACTAGTTGTGATGTTCTCCCTTTTGAAAAGGGAACAAAAAGAATAAGAAGCAGCACCTCCTTGGGCAGTAGCTGGACACACACACCAAATTTTCTCCTCAAGACTTGCTTTATCACCTCTCGAGAGAGGGACAATATTTTTTTTTTTCAGACTAAGGATAGGGCACAACAGATTTCACCAACAACTGTTCAAATTATTCAGCAAAGGAAACACAGAGACGTGTCCCTGCAACTGGGCACCAGAAAATTCTAAGTATATGCTCCAACACTGTATGCTACCAACAGAGACACAATCTGGCACATTCCACTCTCAGTGAAGACAAAGCTGTATGGCACACAGAGAGATTTGAACTGCGTGATAGCTTTCGTAAAGGCTTCCAGTCTCCTTATGTAAGTTTTGTGACAGAGGGATTGAATAAGAAGAAGAAGAAGAGGAATAGGTGAAGTACAGAGAGGCTTATACATTGCTATTAAAGATAATTATAATTAATGAGACAAGATAAAACCAAAATATACATAGAAAAAAAAACAGATGGAGAAGAATCCTTGCGGCCATAAAATCAGTATATACAATATACATGTAGTGATCAGTACTTATAAAAAGAAATGTATTGATCGATATTGATTAAAAGTGACAGATTTGATTTCAGGCAAGGTAAATTATAGCTTCCAGTTTTTATTTTGTCTAGTTTCTTTCTCGAGTCTACCATCTTCTATAAATATGCTTCCTGGAATTCTTGTAAATATTTGACTGTAGTAAAATTAACATGAATGTTCATATTATTATGTTTACTTCCTGTTCTCATTACTTCAGTTTTTTCTGTGTTGATTTCATATAATAATTTGTGTGGTCTTGGTATAAGGAGTCAATATGATGTTGTAAATTATGTTCTTGGTTGTGTATTGGACACTAATAATCTCCAAAAAGCAATTCCTTGTCTTCTTCAGTGTCTTTATTTGCCCCCTGTGTAATTCTATCAATGTAGGTAATGATGAACAATGATGAGAGGATACACCCCTGTCTGACACCTCTTAAGATGGGGAGCCAATCATTCGATGAAAAAAATGAAATTACAAAAGTTAATTCCTCATAAAATAAAAATGTTACATGCTCACAAAAACACACACTAGGACTAAATGTAAAACAAGAGCTAATGTCTGCAATATTTCTTCTCAGTTTTCCAAGCTGACAAAACAAGCTCATATTATAGACAATATGCAGACAACATATATTCCTTTTTACCTAGAGTAAACTAGAATCCCATTCTAAAACAAGCAGCAGGCATCAAATCTTACTTTTAGTCAGGGCTTTATAGCAATCATTTATAACCTTGTTATATCTACCAGCCAGTACTCACACACATTTGACTTCCGGTCAAAATGGATGCTAAGCAGGGGCACTGTTTGGAGCCGAGGCAAAGTTTTTGCTACTGCCGGATGTTGGCCGATGCAGTTTTGCTCCATTTGTAGACTGGATATAGTTTCGTCGCCCAGCTTCTGAGTTGAATGCATGGCGTGACACTGTGAGCTGCGGATTTCATTTGGAATGTTTTTTCGACTGTGACCAACGTGGTGGTGTGAATTGTAGATTCAGAAAATGGTGCGATGCCTGTCGTCGCAATGTAGGTGGTGCCTGTATGTGATTTAAATTGATCGCGAGGGCAACTGCTGATCTGTTGGTGACTTCTGCTACCATCAATGATGAACTGCATTTCTAATGTCAGACTGTTTGTTTTAACACTTCAGATAGCTACAGTATGCTTTAATGCAAGTGTATGCTAGATTTGCTGAAACAGCAGTCTGTCAATTTTTCCACAAGGGACTGTGAAAAACATTCTGTGTGTTTTTCGTTGGTACAGGAGCAGAGCAAAGATGGGGTGACCCGTTTGCTATGAAGCTGAAACTAAGACTACCAGACTACAAGACTCACACACTTTGTGCCTTAAAAAATATTTAGATTTTACACAGCTACTTTAGTATTTAAAACAGATTTGCGTGAAGCTAATAAATCAAAAATTATTTATTCTTTAGATTGATGTTATAGAATCCCGGATTGCAGAACTGACAGGACCTGATGCTTCTGATGGAAAAAAATCTGGCCGTGAGAAGTCATCAGAAACATGCAGTTTACAGTAAATTAAAAATATTATTTATGGGAACTGATCATTAGTTTAAACTCATTTGCCCTGGTGACCCAGACAAAATCCAATGCCAGTGACCCATAATGAGGGAATTCCTGAAAAACAGTTTTGCACAGGTCACACACACACACACAAAAACCAATCATAATAATTCTATTTATTGATCTAAACAATATTAAATTCCATTCGGATTTGGGGATTCATCAGTAAATACGAATACACCACATAATTAACAGAATGTGCTGTTGTGTTTTTTTGTTTTGTTATTGTTGGGGGAAAAAGGGGGGGGGGGAAGAGGCGCAGCCTGCAAAAGATTTTCAAGATTATTGATGAAGTCAACAAAAGTTCAAGGTTACGCCATCAGCAGGGAAGATTATGCTGATAGTGTTCTGGGATTGTCAAGGAGTGCTTTTAAACAATTTAAAAAAAAAAAAAAAAAAAAATTAGGTGACAGTGTGAATGCTGATTCATACTGTAAAGTTCTATTGATGCTTCATGATGCAATTTGAAGGAAACATACAGGCTTGCTGACTAGCACAGTATTGCTCCTTCATGACAATGCAGACCACTTATGGGTTGGTTAACTCAGGAGAAAATTAACCATCTAGTGTGGGAATTTCTGGAACATTCACCTTACAGCCCTGACTTAGTCCCTAGAGATTTCCACTTTTTTGGTCCATTGAAAACCCACCTTGGCAAGAGACATTTTGTGAATGATGCAGAAGTTGAATGTGAAGTAAAAATGTGGTTTAGAAAACAGAGCACGCAGTTCTTTGCAGCAGATTTGGGAGGACTGATAAAACGATGGGACAGGTACCTCAATGTTTGTGGAAATTATGTGAAAATAAAGGGACAGTGTAGGTGTAAAAATTTATGGTTTTCAAGTTGTTATCATCTGAAGTTCTTTTGTGTTTTTTTAAAAACAAACATTTATGACTTACTTTTTGACTTCCCGTCCCATTTTGTAGCAATGAATTTTAAGTCAAAGGTATGACACTGATTTTAATCCAACGTTTCAGAATCCATTTGTCATAACTTTATTTTATGCTGCTCAAGTAAATATTAATATGGAAATATGTCTTTCAGTTGTTGGAAATAGATCGTTCAGTTGTTGAAATATTCTCTTAAAGTATATTTTTTCATAAGCTATGACTAGATTTTGTGTTTCTGCATTCCGGTGATGACAAAAACTATGATCTGGAATAGAGAAATTGTAGTGAACCTTTTACCAAATATCTTTGCATGTTTTTATGATATTACTTACTTGTCCTTATAATTAGTGTTTTAGTAATGCCATGTCATAAAATACACATGTCTTCAAATAAACTCATCATTTGACTTTCTGCACTGCATGTAAAGGGCCGCATTCGCGCAGTCGATAGGAAACTTGTTTTCAAATCCAGCTGCAACTTGCTTCAGCCCAGGGCCGATATTTGAAATCGGATGGTTCCCGGGGTTCACCCAGCCTCTAGGAAATGGGTACCAGAGTTAACACTCTGGGGTAAATGGAGGAACATCGCTGTAGCTACAGAGTTTCATGCCGACGGCGACACAGGCAGACAGTTTCTTATCAACTGTCCGTACTGGTGGCAGAGCACTTATGGTTTATAACCGTGTGCAAGGACACTGGTTCACATCTCCCGACTTTACCTCTACTGCATGTATTCATCACTTTTAGGATGGTGTAGGATAGGGTGGTTGTGAGCCTGAGGGGCTCAAGGCTTGTTCAGTTTTGGATTTTTATTTGTACCATCATTAGTGAACAGTTTAAAAAAAATTATTAATTCATTCATTGTCCAGCTGTACCATTGTATATCACACAGGGCTGCCTCCATTCGGTTATATCATGTGCAGTCACTTCTATATCATGGATGGTATCCAGCCAAATACCTTTGATTTCTCTTATCAACGAATAAAGGAATGAATGAATGAATCAAGAATTGACATCCATGCACTCAGGATATTCCCACATGTACTCTGTCTCTTTCTTCAGTAGCCAACGAAAAGTCGATGTGCTAATTATACTAGTTACAACCTGATTGAAAGTTCACCTATGTTTTCCCTTCTTTGCTCACCCCTTGCAAAATTAGTCTATCAATATGTGGATGCTCTGTCTGTTCTGCTGCACTGTCTATTTGATCCCAGAAGACCTTTACCACATGCACTTTGTCATAAAGAATCTCACCACCCAGAGGAGCTACAGCAGCCAATCTATCAGCCTGCTCATTACCCCACACCCTTAAATATCTTGGACAGAATCCATGATTTGCTCTGATCTGAACCTTATCAAGCGATACAAGCCACTCTACCTGTAGGAACCCACTTTCTGTTTTCTGAAGCGTACTTTGTGACACCATTACAGTAACTTCATGCTGCTCTCCTGGCACTAGAAAGCTGCAGTTACTGCCTCCACCTCCATTCTCATACTGGATGTTGTGACGTTATACTGCCTGTTTTCAAGCAGCGTCAATTCACCTTTGCACTAAAACCCCACCCAATCTTTCTGCCTCTTACTTCAGATTCGTCTGTGTCTACAACGATGTCTCCTAAGTGTGAAATTTCATTGATCAGCTCTTGTACTGATGCCTCTGTTTCATCAACTATCCATTCCTGCCACCCTGGGTCCAAGGTAACTATCACTGTGTGCAAGTATGTTTTTCTGGGCAGCACTGTGACCCAATCTTCATCATGGGCTGTCTTGTCAGTAGCACAGACAGTTTTGCCTGTACCATCCAAGAGCTACCTCTTTTTTACCTATGGCTGTTGTTGACTTCCAAAGCCTCTTGTAGGAGGTGTTTTCTTTCCGTTGAGACTTTATGCTACATCTGTGCCTGTAACACCATGTATCTTTCATATACGGATAGCAATGCAAGTATGTGCCGCTGCACACGATTGACATGTCCCGCGTACATCCCAAAATTACTTGGATGGCTTCATTCTGCCTTCATTTATCCCCGCTTCTTTATCTGGCTCTTAAAGTAAACAGGCCAAAACCATACTCCATCACTGAAACATTGAGTTGCTGGTAGAGTTGTAGAGTCTGTTCCATGTCCACTGATGTTGTCATCTTCAATGGATTGAATCCTTTCCTTAGTTTTAATACTAGCTCTTCCACGTGGTACTTGAACTACGGGTTCCTGTCAAAAGTTATACCAAGATATTTCAGTGAATTCTCTCTTTTAAGGTTACAACTATTTATTTTGATGTTCGAAATGGCACCTCTAACAATTGTATTATTTAATGAACACCACAATACATAGCTGTCTTATCTGAGTTGATGATAGAACCTGTTTCCTCACACCACTCTTATACCTTGTCTGTTGTGTTCTGCAGTTCTCTAGATAGTAATGTTCTATTTACTTCCCTGTCTGTAGACTAAAACATCATCAGCAAAAGTCAGAATTCTCCAACTTCTCAATTGCTGCTATCCTGCTAGTGTACACATTGAATAGCACAGAGGAAATGGTGGACTCCTATGGAAGGCCAGGTGCAATATTATAGGGGCTAGAGCTCCACAAACCTAGGCGGAAAGCAGTCTTATGCTCATACAGGACTGCTGCAATCCAGTTGACGATCTAGGGACATAACTCCATATCCCTGTGTGTAGAGTAACATGTCATATCTAACCCTGTTATATGCATCTTCTAGATCCAGGGCTACCATCAATGTTTCATGTTTGTTCTGAAACCCCTCATTGGTGTCATAAGCCAGGATCACAGCATTTACTTATTGTCTTTTCTTGATCGGCAGATTCGTAACCCTTTAGAAAGAAATCAACGTTTCTCTAGTTATTCCTGTAATTTCCCTGCCCCTATCTTTTGCAGAATTTGTCCAAAAATATAAAGTAATAATTCTATATCCTTTTAATTTGGTGTGATCTTTATTTGGCTTTGGGTGTGGTATAAGGTAACTAAGCAGCTATTCCAAAGGAACCAATGCTGTTTTAATGCTGAAGTTGAAATACGAGACCATTTCCTTTAGTTCTTCATTGCCTAAACCTTTCATATGGCTATATTTAACACCATCTGGCCCAGATTCACCGTCTTTCAATTTCTTCAGCATAATCTTTAAATCTGTTACTTATATTATCTTCTCATGTGTCCTATCCCTTGTTGTTCTAGCAAGATCCTTAACGATAGGCCTCCTGATGGTCCTATCATTTTGGTCTGTCTGCTCTACAAATCTCTTCATGAAGGCCTCTCCCTTCTCACTGTCTGTTGTCAAGACCTGGCCATTTTTACAACATTTTGTACCAACTGAATAAGAATGTTCTTTTCTGCTCATTCACCTATCCAGTTTCCTTTACCCCCCCCTTTTTCTATTCCCCCCCCCCCCCCCTCCTTTACCCCCCCCCCCCCCCCCCCCCCCCCCTCCCCCCCCCACCCTAATCTCGTTCGTGAATTACAAATAGTTGCAGTTAAGATGTTTGCTTCATAATCAGCTAATTTCACCTATATGTAAGAAACAAAGAGCCTGTTTCAATATCTGTAGTTAAACTAAGCTAATGGTGCTAGCCAAAGGAGATCGAACCAAATGGGATAAAGCCCAGTGCAATGAAATCTATCCTCTCACCTTTAATAAACTTTTTTGGTGTGAGAAGGTTTTCTGAAATTTTCTTAAACAAGGGAGTAGTAAAAATAAAGTACTATTTTTCATGCCTTTAGGTGTATTGGGCATTTGGGCAGACCTACATTTTATATACACAGTGGATGATGTGGTCAGCATCACACCAGCTACCTTTACTTCCCAGGACTACTTGTTACCTACTGAAGGTTGAGTCAACCTGTGAGCCAAGGTCATTTTAAAATAAAAGTCCAGCTTTGTCAGGACCTGAACCTATGACCTTCTGAACCACAGGTGAGCGCTAACTGCGACACCATGGCGGCTCCCAAAAGAGGGATTTATTAATATAAATAAATATGGGTGACTTAAAATGGTCAAATGTACAGTAGAAATTACCATGGTGAAGTCAGATTTCCATAGTATACTGTGACT